GAATCAAGAAAATAAATGATCCAATTAAAAAATGGGCTATGGATCTGAACAGAGAGCTCTCAAAAGAAGAAATAAAAATGGCTAATAAACACCTTAAAATTATTCCTTAGTAATTAGGAAAATGAAAATCAAAACTACTGTTTTTAAAAAAATATTTTATTTATTATTTTTATTTTATCTGTATGAGTGTATTGCCTGCGTGTATGTGAGAAGAGGGCTTCGAATTCCCTGGAACTGGAGTTAAGGACGGTTCGTAGCCACCATGTGGGTGCTGGGAATCAAACCTGGGTCCTCTGCAAGATAAGTCAGTGCTCTTAACCACTAAGCCATCTCTCCAGCCCCTGAAAATCAAAACTACTTTTAAAATTTCATCTTACCCGAGTCAGAATGGCTAAGACTAAGAGAACAAACAACACCAAATACTGGCAAGGATGCTGGAAAAAGGGAACACTCATTCACTGCTGGTGGGATTGTAAAGTGGTGCAACCACTGTGGAAATCAGTGTGGAAAACTTTTTCAAAACTAAAAATAAAGTCAGGCGTGGTGGTGCACATCTTTAATCCCAGGAGAGCCAGAGAAGGCAGATCTCTGTGAGTTCAAGGCCAACCTGGTCTACATAGTGAGTTCCGGGCCAGCTGGAGCTACAGGAAGAATCGGTCTCAAATAGACCAAAAAACAATAACAAAAACAAAAATCAGTATAGTGGCTGAGATCTCAGCAGACTGCCAAAGAGTACCAGGTTCTGGCCTCCCTCTGGCATAGGGGGTGAGAACGCAGGGGACTGCCTGAGAGCGCCTGGATCCTGCCTCTACGTGATGAAGCCTTTGAAAGGGAACTTGCACAGATTCTACCCACTCCAATAGCTATCAAAATACCTGAAAGCAAATCCTGAATCCATTACTCTCAAGTCCAGCCTTGGTAGACAAACGAAAAATGAGAAGGAACCCAATAGAAGGATGCTTTTGGTAGCCCTTGTCAAGAAATTCCAATGGACTCTCATATGAACATTTGAAAATTGCCCTGTTCAGACTTTTTTCTAGTTCCCTGTCTAGAACTTGTAATGCTAAATATTCTTGCCTTTACTTCTCCTTCACATCTCCTATTCATGATTCAAGGACATTCTTTTCCCCCTACAGAAAAAGAGTTATGCAATTTGGGAGTTTTTTAGATAGACCCAATGAAGGGGTACTCCAATAGCCTCACCCTGTGTCCCTGTTCAGCATGGAAGAAGCCAGCGCAGTCTGTGTCCTGATTCCCTATTGGAAATTTGGGTAACCTCTTCAGAGGATGCTGTGATAAGAATAGGAGGTAGGAATTGGCTAGGCAGTTAGGGTAAAAAGACCCCAAAGAAAAATAGCCAGTTTCTTGGCTAAAACTCACATGTCCTTGGGTCTCTTAGCAACATACTCCATTCCAAAGGCTAAAAATGTCGAAAGTATTTGGGAGCTTTTATCTAATCCTTAAAAGATTTTAGGGTTACCTCTTCAGAGGGGGGAATGTTAGAGTAGCCAAAAGCCTCATAAAAATAAATAAAATCAAAGAAGAAGAAAGTATATGAAGCTATAGGAAAAAAGTGACGGGGAGATACGGGAGGAGTTGGAGGGGAGGGAGTGGCCATGGATTTGATCAAAACACCTTATATGCGTGTATGAAATTCTCAATAAATTATTTAACAAAATAAAATATGTTCAGGGAAAAAAAAGAAAGTTCATGGACTTTTAATTAACTGCTGATGAGTGGCTGGGAGCAGATTTATAAACAGGCCTGTCTTATTTCATTGCCCTGAGCCTTTGTGCCAATTTCCAGAGCACTTGAGGCAATCAAGAATATAACAAAAGATTATTTATGCACTAAAAACCAAAACAAAACAAAAAACAAAACAAAAACAAAAAAATAAATCTACCATTTGATCTGGTTATACCACTCCTTGGCATATATCTAAAGGACCCAACATCCTACCACAGAAATACTTGTACAGCCATGTTTGCTGCTGCTCTTTTCCCAATGGAAATAGCTTTGTTTTTAGATCAATGGAACAAAGAAATAGAAACAACCTAAATGTTCCCCAACTGATGACTGGATAATGAAAATGTGGTACATTTACACAGTGGAGTTCTATTCAGCAGTAAAGAAAAACAAAATAATGGAATCTGCAGGTAAATGGATGGAACCAGAAACTATTAAACTCAGACTCAGAAAAACAAGTGATGTATGTTCTCTCTCATTTGTGGCTCTTAGCTCCAAATCCTTACAGACAGGAGAAACTTGCTTTCAAGTTGTTGGTCAGGGTAGTCCAAAAGACTCCCATGGGAGTGCCTCTCAGAACTTGAAGGTAAAACTCTATTGCTGACAACAGGACATACTTTGGACACAGGACTTGGAGCAATCCTGCTGGAACTGACCTGGAAGCCTCCTCCCTGAAGACTAGCTCTCATAGTTCTAGAGGATACTATGTAAACTGCTAAGGGAGAAAAATCAATCAATGGTTCAGCCCAGATGGAGACTAATAACCACAATGAATGGCAGAGAAAACTATCTCTATTGGTGCAGTAGTGACACTTTTATTTAGGGAATAATCAACAGCTCTCTAATTGGACTTAAAGCCCTTTCAATGGGAGGGAAGTCATATATGGTACTGTAAACATAGCCAAATATACATGGCTTGAAGGGTCACATATCCTAGGGAAAAACCTGTGTCTGTCATATCCCTAGACAAATGTAATTTCTTACTATAAGCTAAATATGTATCCTTATATTTATAGACAACTGTACCTCTCACCACTCATTGAAGAAGCTTCTTTTTTTTTTTTTTTTAGCAACAGATGGAGATTATTACAGAGTTCCATAATGGCTCAGAGATTAAGCGTCTGTGAGATACTCAACCCTAGGTGACACAACTACAATACAATCTCTACACCTAAGGTTCAGGGAACACAGTGGAGCAGGGGGCAGAGAGAATATTAACGCACCTTTCAATTTTCACCAGAGAGGCTTCCTCATGCAGCAGATGGTGATTAACACAGAAAGCCACAACTGGCCAAAATATAGAGAATAAGACTTCAGAGTGTGTGCCCCTGGATAGGACTCCTAAATCTCTGCCACCCAGTGCTCAAAAACCATTGTAGAAGGGGGTCGGGGGCAGATTCTAAGAGACAGGGATGGGGGATGACCAGAAGGAAACAAGAGTTTTTCAGGCTGCTGGGAAGATGCTCATATGAACTTACAATAATGGCAACAGCATGTACAAGACCCTTGCAAACTCAAACCAGACCAAAAAAGAAAGAAAGAAAAAGCCCGTATAGAAGGGGAAATGGGTAAGCAGCCCTTACCTTAGCTGAGGAACTACTGGCAACTGATCTCTGTTGGGTGAGGGAGAGCTCGTCTTCTTTTAGGGAATGACAATAGCTAGGTTTACCAGGCTGCAGTGGATGAACTCACACTGAGAGACATTTGGGGATGCAATCTTGATTTGATAGGCCTTAACATAGATGACAGAATTCATGAAATCTGGTGGGTGAGCTATGGGGGTTGCAGATAGTGGAAAGAGTCTAAAAATGGTTAGATGTATTATATGAAATGTGCAAAATTCAATAAAAAATTTAAAAATACTAAAAAGAACTTAAACTACACTTAAAACTTAAAAATAAAATCCCACACTGTTAGGTACTTACTTAAGAGAAAATAATATATATGTGGTTACAAAGACTTATGTACAAATGCATTTATAAGCTTATTCATGAAATCACCTACAAATGGAAATAATTTAAATGTTCAATAATTAATGAGTGAATAAAGTTGTGCCACATTTGTATAATGGAACACTAGCAATACAAATGAACTACTTATATGTGTAATAACACAGGAGCAGTATGCTAAGAGAAAGAATCCAGACGCAAAAGGTATTCACAGTATTACTGTTTATAAAAAGTTGTGGGAAAGTTGGAATTATGGGGACAGAATTAGATCAATGGTTGCTAGGGGCTGGCTAGAGGAGAGGCACTGACTTAAAAGGAGGAAAATGGAACTGTATTGGTGTCATGAAAATATTCTATCCTTTGACTATGATGATGGATATATGACTATGTGTTTGTCAAAATTCATTTAACTATGGATCTTAAAGAAATCCTGGCTTTGGAGGCTGGAGTGATAGCTTAGTTAGCAAAGCGTTGCTATGCAAGCATGAGAACCTGAGTTTGATCCCCAGCTCCCACATAAAAAAACAGGCATGGTGGCATATCCCTGTTATCCTGGTGCTTCAGAGATAGAGAGACAGGTGGATCCCTGGGTCTCACTGGCTAGCCAGCCTAGCCCAATTATGTGAGCCTCAGGTGCCAGTGAGATAAACTGTCAAAAAACCAAAGTAGGGGCTGGAGTGATGACTCAGTGGTTAAGAGCACTGGCTGCTCTTGCAGAGGACCCAGGTTTGATTCCCAGCACTTACATGGTGGCTAACAATTGTAACTCCAATTTCAGGGGATCTGACTCCTTCTGACCTCTGTGGGCATTGCACAACACATGCAACCAATACACTCATACATATTGAAAAAAAAAAAAGAGTGACCCTGAGGAATGATACTGGGGGTTGACCTTTGGCCTCCACATATATACTCAAACACAGGTGCAAGTACCCTCACCCCCACGAAACCCAAGCACTTAAAAGGAAAATCTCGATATAGTTTCAAGTGTTTACTTTCATTTCTTTCCCTTCCTCACTTGAAACTTACAGTAGGAAAGGGACAGGCTCTTGCACTTCTGCCGAGTATGAGCATAATAATACTTTAACTTGGCTAAAGTTTAAACGTCCATCCCTTCAAGCCCAGGAAAACAAAAATTTCCCTAAATGGCAATGGGGACTCTGTCACTATCCTCATTCTCTGCTGATTGCCAATTACTGTGATTACCTTTCTTTTTTTAAAGCAGGAAGAGGGAAATTCTAGTTTCCCTTCTTGTGGTTAAAATGTTACATATGAACCAAAGTGAAATTTTACCTGTCTACTTACCCTGCTTCATAAGAGGCAAGGCCTTCCTTGACGAGTTGGTCATTAATGCTAGTAGTTGTTCCAGGAGCCCGGGAATCGAAAAGCTCAACTAAGAGCAGATTATTTTCCAGAATCTCTGTAAAAATCAAGACTAGTTTGGAGGAAAGAAATAATTGTGCTACAAAGTACACCAAATGATGTCTGCATTGGTGGTATAGTGGTGAGCATAGCTGCCTTCCAAAGTACACCAAATGAGGAAATTAGTTTTTAAACAACTGGAAGCAATTTCTGTCTTTTGCATACAATAGATTTCTGGCTGAAATATCACAGTCTTTCTAGGAGTCAAAAGGCAGCATTCTGCAGAGAGCTACTATCAATGTATCTGTAGCTTATAACATGTAGAAATTAGTACAAATTTTGTTTTAGGTTTCTGTGTACTATTTGTTCTATAAAAACCCAAGGGCAGTTTAAAAATTTTTTATTTAAAGGCTGGAGAAATGGCTCAGAGGTTAAGAGCACTGACTGCACTTGCAGAGGATCTGGGATTTATTCCCAGCACCCACATGGTGGCTAACAACTGGTGTGTAACTCCAGTTCCAGGGGATCTGACGCCCTCTTCTGACCTTTATTGGCACTGCACGACATGGGTGCACTTACATACAGGCAGGCAATACACTCATACACATAAAATAAAAAAAATAAAAATAAAATATTAAAGAAGTTTTTTGATTCAGAAAATATAAATTAACAGATTTTCTTTCTTTCTTTTTTTTTGAGACAGGGTCTCCTTGTAGCCACAGGCTGGCCTGAAACTCACTATGTAGAACAGTCTGGCCTCCATCTCACAGAGACCCATCTGCTTCTGCCTCCCAAGTGCTGGAATTAAAGGCTCATACCACTATGCCCAGCAAATTAACATATTTTCAACAGAATAAATACTCTGTTGTGTTTACAGACTGTTTTATGGAATTCAAAAGGACAGAAGGAAATAAAAATTATCTCAGGCCAGTGATTATTTGTAAAGGCTTACAATTTTTACAAGGCTAATACAAAGATGAAAACAAAAAAATCTGTAACTCTCAAGTAACAAGCATTTTTTTTTCTGCTACTTCATTTAGGATAAACCACACAATTTTTCTTTAAAGAAAACTGTAATTAGTTGCTTATTTATTGTATCTACTTTTTACAGTAGACTAGGAATTAGCTGAAGGTAAAAATTATATATCAAGTACCTATTTAATGTTACATAGCACAGGAACTCGCTCTATAAGTATGTGAATAAATAATTTCTTTAGGAAATACTATCTCTAAAATATACACTGAATCAGTATTTGCGTGTACATTTTATATAACAGCAGCTGGCAGTTATTAGTTTGAATGATAATTCTAAATAAAAATGATGACCATTTACCAGCAGTAACACATCACAGTTTAAGAGGCCATCTTAGCTTTTGGCAAGAGCTGAAATGTCATTCCTGATTACATGGCTCAGATAAATTATCTAGAAACAGATGTCTAAGCAATGTGGAACCTTGATAAACTCTGATCCTTTTAGTTCTATACACTTATGAATGAAGGTTTTCATTTCAATTAGGCTCATATTCCACGTTACTCCTTCTTTATTGTCTTTTCTGATTTCTTCCTACTAAATACATGTTCCTTGCTTTATAAGGTGACAATCTACATTAAAGGGAGGCCAGTCTCATCAGTGGTCATTCTAAGGTCCCAATTTCACTACTGTACAAGTAAATGGAGAAAAAGTTGAGATTGGGTAGGTTCTTCTGGTATTCCTTAAATCTCATTTTCTTAGTTAACAACTATGGTATCATTGGTGCTGGATGTTACTGGTATTAATAAAAGATTAAGTGAGAGAGAAAGAGATGGGGGAGGGAGAAAAGGAAGGAGAGGGAAGGAAGAAGAAAAAAGATGGGGGAAGGCAGGAGGGAAGATAGGAAGGAGAGAGGAAGGGAGGGAGGGAGGGAGATCATTCTATGGAGCTGACGAGATGGCTCAGGGGGTAAAGGCACCTGCCTCCAAGCCTGATGACCTGAGTGTGACACCCCAGGCCTCACATGGTGGAAGGACAGAACAACCTTGTTCAAGCTTTCCTCTCATCTCCACATGCATGCTGTGGCACTCCCCCCCCCAATAAATACATGTAATAAAAATAAAAATAAATAAATAAAAGAAATCCAGGGAGTATGCCTTACATTATCAACAGAAGGATATTTAAGAAAGATGCTAAAACTCAACAAAACACACTTTCCAAAGGCTGGGAAATAGTTATCCAGGTTAAAGCTGTTTTAAACTCAGTGGAGATCACTCAGACTAGGACAACTTTGTGGTTCATTTCAGAGAAGCCAGTTGTAAAAATTCTATACACTAAGGATGCAATTTCTGTGCTCATAGTAATTTTCAACGAAACCATTTCTTCTGAACAGTTTCCTTTTCAAAAAAGATTTTTAATTTTTAAGAGTGTATATGTGTGTGTGTGTGTGTGTGTGTGTGTGTGTGTGTTTGTTTGTACATGTGAATGCTAGTGCCTATAGGCAATTAGGGGATGTCAGATCCCCTGCTGAAGCGATAGGAAGTTGTAAGTCACCAGACATGGGTGCTGGGACATGAACTGGGTCCTCTTATAATAGCAGCAAGTGATCTTAACCACTGACCCAACTCCACAGTCCCCCTGAACAATTTCTTGTATCAACAAAGTGAATGAATTATCACAGATACGCCATCATTTTATCTATCTATCTATCTATCTATCTATCTATCTATCTATCTATCTATCTATCTATCATCATCAATCTCTGTCTTTTTGAGACAAGGTCTCCGTGTAGCCCCAGCTGGCCTGGAACTCACTATGTAGACCAGGCTGGCCTTGAACTCATAAAGATCTACCTGCCTCTGCCTCCCAAGTGCTGGGATTAAAGGTGTGTGCCACCACACCCAGCTTACTCCATCATTTTAAAACTATGTGACCTTGAACAGTTCATTTCAGGTCCCGTTTCCTCACTATAAACACATGAATCATCTGATGATAGTTGAGTTCATTTAATGATAGCATGACAAAAGTGAAAAACAAGTGTAAATCTTTCCTAAGTAAACATGGCCTTATATACTCTGTGTATGAGGACTCACTAAGCCCAATACCATCCGGTTCTGTTGTTTGGAACATAACAAAATTTTTCACACACACACACACACACACACACACACACACACACACACACGCATGCACAATCTCCAAGATTCTCAGCCCCCTATCAAAACCCCTTAAGGCCAGATGTATTTGGAGACTCACAATTCTCCAAGTTAAGAGAAGTTACACTGCACAAATACTGCATACAGTGAAGAGTATGGGGTAAGTGGCCCACAAGCATACATTCCTGTCTTGAAGTAGAATGTATATTTATTGTAAAGGAGATAAAAAACTCTTATTAACGCAGCAAAAAGCTCTCAGGTGATAACAATTCAAATCAGTCTCTACCATTCAACTTTTGATTTTCAATTCCTGTGTTAGAAAACTGTGGGCTAGTCATCAACAACGTTTGTGGACCTTAACCTTTCCAGAAAAGGAAAAAAACTTCTCAAAATGTGGGGTACCTACAACTGAATTCACTTAGGCAAATGAAACAAAACCAACCAACCAAACAAGCAAACAAATGCTATTTATAGATCATGTTCTGCTTCCCTTTATTTGCCTGAAGATTAGAGCTTAGTCTTAGAAAAAATGTAGACAAATAAAAGAAGCTAATTTCTGGCTTCAGGGTTTGTAATGGGCTACATCAAGGTTGATTGATCTTTGTTTCTTTTTAAAAATTTTTTGAGATAGGTTCTCATTATGTTGCCAAGGCTGGTCTGGTGCTCCTGCTCAGTAACTCTAGGCTGTCCAGCAGATGAGACCACAGCTGTCCAACACTGTGCCTATCTGAAGGATGACTGGGGCCTTCTTTATAAAATATTTATTTTTATTTTTATGTGTATGAATGAGTGTTTTGCCTGCATGTATATGTGTGCAATACTCACAGAGGCCAGAAGAAGAAGTTGGATCTCCTGGAACTGGAGTTAACAGATGGTTATGGACCAACCTGTTGATGTTAGAAACTGAACCCAGGTCCTCTGGAAGAGCATCAAGCGCTCTTAACCACTGGGTCATCTCTCCAGCCCCAGATTTATGGTCTGACCATAAGGCTTATAGGAGATAAAATTCCACAGTCCTAATTTTCAATGAATATTCTTTCTCACTGCTGTCACTCAAAGCACACTATTTAGAGCTATGACAACTATTATCTAATGTTAATCTTATTTATAGCTATATTATACAATATATAAAGATAGAAGTATCTTACTAATAACAGAACATGTCATAAATTTATCTTGAGTCTTTTCTTCAAATTTTTCTTTAGCCTTTTTGGACCAGTGTGTTCTTTTACTTGGTTCAATATACGCCAGCTTACATTTAATTGCCTGTATCAAACAAAATTCCATCATTAAGAATGCAAACTTAATTTCAAGTTAGTTTAGAATTAAAATAAAATTGTATGTTAACTGTAGAAAGCTAATCTTCATGTAGCTTGGTGGTATAGTACTTGGCAGACATGCTTTTCTATACTTTTAAGTCATTTCTCTCTTTTTGCTATCTGCAATTTCATGTTTCTTTTTACAGTACTATTTAGTTTTCAAAAAAAAAAAAAAAAAAAAGACAAGATTGTGCCATTAAGATGGCTCAGATGGCTCCAGTGGCTCAGCACTCATCAGTTAAAGGTGTGAACCACATGGTAGAAAGAGAGAACTAACTCCCAGGAGTTGTCCCTCAAACTTCCACATGTGTGCCATGGTGCACACACATGAATGTACCCATATACACACAAAATAAAAATAAAATGTAATAAAAATTTGTAAAGTAAATAAAGTAGCATATAGCATAATTTTTTTACAAAAAAAAAAGAGAGTTTAAGTTTGCTTGTTCTCTTTCTCTAGGTATCCTAGTCCCCAGAGATCAACAGGGCTATTTTACACATTTTCCCATAATTCTTGTTCTGTTGTAGACTATAATTACTTACATAGACATAAAACACAGGAAAAGTACTTCTGAGATGAACTTTTTTAAAATAAATTTTTTATTTTATGTATATGAATGTACTGCCTGCATGTACGTGAGTGTACCCGTGTTGTGCAGTGCTGTGGAGGTCAGAAGAAGGTGTCAGATTCCCCTGGAACAGGAGTCAAGGACGATTCATAGCCGCCATGTGAGTGCTGGGAATCAAACTCAGGTCCTCTGTAAGAGCAGTCAGTGCTCTTAACCGCTGAGCCATCTCTCCAGCCCCTGAGATGAACTTTTATCATTCAGTGTACCATGCAACTGATATTCTTACCGAATTATGAGATGGCTCAAAATAATGTATTAAAAGACCAGTAAGTACCTAAGACACAAATATACATCTATAAAATGTTTATATTTGATATTTATTTGGCAGCATATACCTACTATTATTACTACAGAGCCTACTATTATTACCCAGGGCCTTGTACATGAAAGACAAGTGCTCTATCCTAGCTTCACATAGCTGTTTTTTTTCTTTTTTCATTTGGTCATTTTGAGACTGTCTCCTTGTAGTCCCAGGTGACCTGGCATTTACTATTGAGACAAGGCTGGCTTCAATTTCACAGAGATCTCTCTGCCTCTGCCTCCCAAGTGCTGGGATTCAAGGCTTGCACCACCACACTTGATTTACATAGTATTTCTTAAAGAGTAATTAACTGTAACATTTACTTATAGCCCTTGTATCAGACACTGTTTATAGATAAAAATATTCATTTATAGAACACCTCTAGGGTAAAAAAACACAAAAAACAAAAATCAACCTTACAAAATATTTTCATATTAGGTTAACATTCTAACTGTAACATTCATAACAAGCAGATTACCTTCTCTGGGGGGTCCAGAAACTCATCTTTTATTTTACGCATATCCTTAAGTGTTATTTTTGCAGTATTACCAAAGTCCACATATCTAACTTCAACTTCCCGATGTCCAGGCAATCCTTTAAAAATTATTAAATTAGAAATTACAAGCTTATCAGACCTCTTAGTTTGGTCTGTATGCTTTAAAGAAATCTTTGAAAGGTTCAAATACACAGAAACTTGAAGACCAAGACCAATTATAAACTGAACTTTTTGAAATCACCCAGAATGTATGGTCAAAACTGTATACTTTCCAAGCACACATATACAGGGATATAAAACTTGTGGCCATCATTTTCAAAGTGAAATACTAATACAAAAATGCATCACTACAACAGGGGAAGCAGTCCAGCATTCCTGAGTGTGTGGAAGAAGTAGAAACAAGTGGCACAGTGCATTGCTACTCATGATGATACTTTGCAGAACTTAGCCCCATGGTAGTAAACATCTGTGACAGTTGAGAAGGTAGGTGTAAGGCCAGAATGTAGGGAAATCTCCCAACTTCCCACTGGCATTTCCACACTAGAAGGGTATCTCAATTCTTTTAACACCATTATTTTTACCCTTCTTCAAAACTCTGGACTGAGATGTAGTTTTAAACTGCAGGTGGCTCTGGGATAAAATTTAACTCACAGAATTTTTTTCTTTACCCAAATTATCAAATGCATATGAGAACAGTTGGCAGGCAGGGAAGGTCTCATTTTTACTTCTCATTTATTCTTTCCTCTTCTGAAGAAACTAATAAGGATGACATCACCAAAACAAAATAATAAATTGAAGTGGTAAACACAGGAGCCAAAAAACAAGGGTTCCAAATCAGGAGAACAATGGGGTGTGTTTGTGGGGGGAAATGAAGTCCTAGAATAACAAATGTGCAATAATCCTGGAGATTAAGCACTCCTAGTGGACAAAAATGGAAAAATGTTTCAGGGCTCCAGGGGATGGACCCATACCAAGAGCATTTGGGTAACACAAAGTAGACTCTATAGGCCTGAAAAAAATCAGAAGATATTAAGTACCAGGAGTAGGGGAGGTGGAGGTGGCCTTGGGAGGAGATGGGGAAGGGAGTCTGAATACAATCAAAATACATTGTACGAAATTCTCAAAGAATCAATAAGAGTATTACTGAAAATGTTCCCATAGGTTAAAAATAAATCAAAACTACAATTATCTGAAAAGCTTAATCATATGGAAAATTGCTTTGAGGTGTTAGGAAAATATACCCACATCCTGAAAGAAAATAATGCAAGTAAAAAGCTGACACATGACCTCTCCAGCTACGTGCATTTGGCTAGGTTTATAGTACCAAACAAGTTTTCTCCCATTGAGTAGTCTTTTTTTTTTTGAGACAGGGTCTCCCTGTAGCCCCAGCTGGCCTGGAACTCACTATGTAGACCAGTCTTGGCCTTGACCTCACTAGCCCGAGTGCTAGGATTAAAGGTGTGCACCACCACGCCCAGCTGAGTGGGCTTTTTCTTTCTTTCTTTTTTTTTTTTTTAATAGTTTAATGTGGCATTTTATTTATTTTTTCCATTAAAAACTCATGCTTGGAAACATTCACAATATTAACTGAACTCAGTATGAGATCAGTTTCATATTTTGGATATTAAGAAGATAGTCAATATAATTATGTTCAAAATTATTCAGCCCCAAACTTATAAATATTTGGTCTTCAGATGTTTACACACAGTTTTGGGTATAAAGTTCTTTGGCTTCAAGAAAGAACATTTTGTTAACTTCACTAATAGGAATATCTCTTAATGCTGGGATGGCATCTTCTTGGTGGTTCTTCTGTTCCTGATTTTTTAGCATAGTTGTCTGTGATTGTATGAATGGAGTTGAGTGAAGACGTGTTCATCATGTTGATTCCAAATAAGAGTACATAGCCCATTAGGACAGCAATAAGCAGGTAGACAGGTAATGCCACCGCCCAGTATTTTTGAGGCCAAAAGGTTAAGCCTAAGGAGTTTAACCATGATTCAGGAACGAAAGCCCACACAAGAAAAAGCCTGAAGCCAAACTGAGAGCTTAAGAAAAGAACAAAGCCATAAATCGCCCTTTCTGGCAATGGTGTCAGGGAGTTTTCCACCATCTTCCCTGGGGCTTTGGACAGTCACTGCAATGAGGGGGTGGGAGAGTGGGCTGCTGACAAATGCCAATCTTCTGGGAGGGGTGAGGATGGGAGGGTCAGACCCTGAAAGAAGCCTGACCCCAGCCCCCAATGCTGTCTCCCCCTACTGTGAGGGGCTCAGCACATGGCCCCAGGGATGCCCTCCCCCATCTTTGGTTCTCTGCTCCTCCTTTCCCACCTCTTCTGAGTGGGCTTTTTTAAAAAGATAATTTTTAATTGAATTTTTGTATATTTCATACATAAAATCATCTTTATACCTCCTTCCTCTTTCCCATTTGACACCCTCCCATAGCCCTTCCCCCCACTAGAGTTCATACATTCTGTCATTTGTACTAAGGCCTATTATGTAAAGTTAGTGACCTGAGATGTCCCTCAGTGGAAGTTCATCCACTGGGGTTCAGTCAGCCTATCTAGAGTCTCTCTGTTCAAGAAGATCTGCTCTTCCTCATTCAGCAGTAATCAGCTGCCGATAATTCTTCGACTAAGATTGGGGCTTGCTGTACATTTCCATAGTTCTGTGCTGGATTTTTGTCTACCTAAATTTGCATCGTGACACCATTGCTATAGGTTTGTATGAGAAGGGTCCCTGGAGCCTGTAGGACTATTTCTGGATTGTCATCCACCTCCTCCCTGGCTCCTAAAATCTTTCCGCCCTCTCTTCCACAATGTTACCTGAGCCCTGGGTGGGTGGACCTCAATATAGGAGACCTTTCCAAGGATCCACACTCTGCTGACTCTTATTCTCTGCATTTTGGCCATTTGTGGCCTTTTTGTGTTCCTGGCCCTCTGTTGCATGAGGGAGCTTCATTGATGAGAATTCAAAGATTCATCCCTTGTTCTATGTTCCGTGAGTCTTAGGTGTAGAAGTTGCATCCAAAATGTGCCACTTAGGTTTAGGCAATTCAAAGAGAATCTCTGTGTAACCAGTTGTGTAACTGTAATAATCTCCATCTGTTGAAAAGTAAGATACTTTGACGGATGGTGACTGGGGTACTTATCTGTAACTTAAGGATCCATATTTTGCACATAGTAAGAAATTACATTTGTCTAAGAATATGAAAGCCTTGGGTTTTCTCTAAGATTTATGACCTCTCCGGCTATGTATATTTGGCTAGGTTTACAGTACCAGACATGAGTTTCCTCCCATTGAGTGGGTTTTAAGTCCAATTATGTAGCTATTGATTATCCCCAAGATAAAAGTGCACCAATGTCATTTGCTGTGCTGGTCACTGATGTGGTTTTTAGGGTTGAACTATCAATTGATGTACCAGCTTGCGTAGTGCTCTCCAAAGCTATGAGAGCTAGTGTTCAGGGCAAGTGGCTTCCAGGTCAGTTCCAGCTCCACTGCTCCAAATCCTGTGTCCAAAGTATGTCCTGTCTATTTGGTGTTCTATGTGCTTCTTGTATTTGTATGGGGATGTCTTTCCTTAATTTTGGGAAATTCTCTTCTACAATCCTGTTTAAGATCTGGTCAATACTGTTAATCTGAAATTCTTCTCCTTCCTCTATGCCTACGATACATAGATTTGGTCTTTTCATGGTGTCCCACATCTCCTGTATATTCCATTCCTGTGTTTTAAAAATTTTTCATAATCTTTGATTGAGTGGTCCAATTCTTCAACCTTATCCTCCAGTGCTAATATTGTTTTCCATTTCATTCATTTTGTTGGTGAGGCTTTCTCCTGTTGTTTCAAATTGGCTTATTGAGTTTTTTACTTCCTTCTTCATTTCAGCCTGAGTTTTCTTCAATGTTTCTCATTTGTGAATTCAGTGAGAAGTTCACCCCCATCTTCTTTTGGTTCTTTGATTTGTTTGCTTGTGTGTTCTATGGTGGAGTTTGGTGGGAACACGCTGTTTTGGTTTTCATATTATTATTTTTCCGTTGTAATTCTGGCATGTGAATTTTTTTTTTCCTTGATCTTTTTGAGACAGGGTCTCCCCCTCCACAGCTGGCCTGGATTTGCTATGGAGACCAAGCTGGCCTTGAATTTGCAGAGACTGGCCTGCCTCTTCTTTAATCTGTTGGGATTAACGGCGTGTGCCACCACATCTGGTGGCATGTGGATTTGTTTTATTGTTTGTGATTCTGGTTATGAAATTCAAGCCTTGTTTTGAGTTGAAGTTTGCTTCCATTTGTATTATTGGTGTGCCTTGGTTGTTTTCTTGCTGGTTATGTAATGCTGGTTGGTCTAGGTTTCAGGTTCTCTCAGACTTTATTTTGGAGGGAACTGATGAGCTGCTCAGGTGCTCCCACAGAGGCCCAAGTCAGGATCCACTCAAGTACACCCAGGCTTCCTTCTAACGTTTGGACCCCTACTAGCAGGTATTCACAGCATAATTTGGGAAGTTTGCTAAGGGGATGCCTGATTTTGGTACTCTTAGGCAGTCTGCTGAGTTCTCAGTCCCTCCACCAGGCAGAGGCCAGACCAGGCACTCCAAGGAGTGGGCTTTAAGTTCAATTAGAGGTAGCTGTTGATTACCCTCAAGATAAAAGTGACACTACTGTACCAATATTATTTGTTGTGCTGGTCATTGATGTGTTTTTTTTTTCTTTAATTTTTAGTTTTTATTTATTTATTTTTTAAATTTTACCATTTTTATTTTATGTGTATGTGTGTATTGCCTGCATGTAGTTAAGTGCACCCATGTCATGCAATGCCTGTGGAGGTTAGAAGAGGCTGTCAGATCCCCTGGGACAGTTGTTAGCTGCCATGTGGTGCTGGGATTTGAACCCTGGTCTTCTGCAAGAACAATCAGTGTTCTTAACTGCTGAACCATTTCTCTAGTCCCACTGATGTGGTTTTTAGATCTTGAAGCTGGGGTTGGACCAGTTTGTGTAGTGCTCTCCAAAGCTATGAGAGCTAGCCTTCAGGGGAGGTGGCTTCCAGGTCAGTTCCAGTCTACTTCATCAAATTCTGTATCTTGTCTTCAGCAATAGGGTCTTAACCTTCATGTTCTGGGAGGCAATTAATGGTTGTGGCAACAGCCTTTCTAATTTTGGGAACATCTTGGACTACCCTGGCCAACAATTCAAAGAAAGGTTTCTCTGTAATTTCTTACTATGTGCAAAATACGGATCCTTACAGACAAATATTCCAGTCACCACCCATCAAAGAAGCTTCTTTTTCAACAGACAGAGATTATTACAGAATTTCACAACTGCTCATACACAGAGATTGTCTGTGAATTGCCCAAGCCTAAGTGGCACATCTACTATACAACCTCTACGCGCCTAAGGCTCATGAAACATAATAGAACAAGGGATGAAAAGAACACTAACGCATTTTTCAATTCCCATCAATGTAGCTCCCTCATGCAACAGAGGGCCAGGAACACAAAAGGTCACAAGTGGCCAAAACTTAGAGAATAAAAGTCTATAGAGTGTGGGTTCTTGGACAGGATTCCTATATTAAAATGCACCCACCCAGGGCTCAGAGATCATTGCAGGAGAGGGGGTGAAAGGACTGTACGAGTCAGGAAGGAGGTGCATGATCATATGGAAATAGAGTCCTACAGACTCCTGGAACTCTTCTCATATGAATGCACAGCAATGGTGTCAACATGCAAACTCAAGCAGACAAAAACCCAGTAAGGAACTGTGGAAATGGACAGCAGACCCCAGTCTTAGTCAAAGAATTATTGGCAGCTGATTATGGCTGGGTGAGGAGGAAGACCTGATCTTCTTGAAGGGAGGGCCTCTAGATAGGTTTACCAGACTTCAGTGGATAAACCTGCATTGAGGGACATCTGGGGACACTAACTTGACATGATAGGCCTTAACACAAATGACAGAATGTATGAATGCCAGTGGGGTGGGGGGCTACAGGACAGGACCAATGGGGAAGGGGGTATATAAAGATGATTAAGATGTTCTGCATGAAATACACAAAAATTCAATAAAAAATTTTTAAAATGCTGACATAATGATCAACTCAGAATTAAAGTGTAGAGATCAGCAATAAAAATACCTATAAAATATGAATTTTAAAATTGTAATACAAGCAAGGAGAGGAGAGGACAAAAGAGAAATCAAGAGACATAAAACTTCATGAACTAATAAATATGTAAAATCTATTTAACTGAAGCCTCAAGTGAAGCATTACACATTATTCAAAAACATAACAGAGATAAATACCAAACCAAACAAAAAACTCCAACAGAGTTTCAAAAATGAAAGGTTTACTGTATTTGAGATTAGACCACAAGTCTTTTTACCACTACTGAGTTTTAAAATAAGACAGACATTAGAAAATTAAACCAAAGCAAATCAAACAAAAGCTACCAAGGATGGCCTTCAGTGTGAAGCTGGATAGGACTACAGAAGGGGTAGGAAGACAGGCATTTTCATTCCAATCCTAAAAGTCACCATGAAGACAGAGTCTTTCTCAATCAACATTGCTTAAGGATTTCAGAGGCTATTGTTCATCAAATAAATTATTTGATGCCAATAATTCTAATTTAAAGGCAGTTGCAAAGACCTTAAAGACATCAAAAAATCTTTACTGTCCTATGTATTTGCCAAAATATGTACATTGGTATCTTTATTTCAATGTTTTAAATGTTTTTGCCTCTCCAAAATTCATGTTGAAATTTAATCCCTAATGCAACACTATTAAGGGGTATGACCTCTCAGAGGTGACTGTCATAGGTCTCTGCTCTAGATGGCTCTGCTCTAGTGTATGGGATAGGTGCCTGTGCTGGATAGCTTTAGTGTCAACTTGACACACCTGGGCTGAGGGAGCCTCAAATGGGGAATTGCCTCCATAGGACTGGCCTGTGGCCATGTCTGTGGGGCATCTTCTTGATTGTTCAGTGATGTGGGAGGGCCCAGACCACTGTGGGTGGTGCCATCCCTGGGCAGGTGGGCCTGTGTTGCATAAGAAAACAGGCGGGGGTGGGGTGCAGGGAGCAAGCCAGTAAGCAGCATTCCTCCATGGCCTGTGCTCCAGCTCCTGCTTATAGGTTCCTGCCCTGAGTTCCTACCTTGGGCTCCCTGATGATCTGTGACCCAGGAGATGTAAGATAAAATAAACCCTTTCCTCTCCAAGTTGGTACTGGTCCGAGTATTTTGTCACAGCAATTGAGAAACAAACTAGAACAGGTGCCCTTATAAAATGACTAGATGGAGAAAACGTCAACTCACTTTTATCCTGACATTTAAGGAAATGGCATTTACTCTCTCTGGAAGACGCAACAAGGTTAACTAAATTAGAAACAGAGAGACCAGATCCTCATCAGTCAATGCCTTGATTTTAGATTTCCTAGACTCCAGGACTGTAGGAAATAATTGCCTATTGTTTATAAATAACTCGCTCTGTGGTATTTAGTTATAGCAACACAAAGACATTCAAAAGAACTGCATTTGAAAAATATTTAAATTTAGCTAGTATAAGACACTAATTACTAACTGAATTAAAATCAATGATGACTATGGAGAGAAAACTTAATTTGGAAGGATAAATAATTTCACGTGAGATTTAAAATTTTCTGTAATTTAGAAGTAACCAGTCTGGATCTTGGATTACTTTAATATGTTGCTCTGTACTATCTACTAGTTTTCTAGCTAGATTCCTAATGGCTAATTCCTGCTCAAGCAAATAAAATTTTGGAAACCAGAGATTCACCTCCTAACATTACCACTAACTTTCTAAAGATACATGACAGAGCAAGTGATAAGATCAGACAATATCACTTCTGTAATTTAACTTCTATCAAGTCAAATGATTCTAGTTTTGAAGTACATTTCCCTGTGGAAATAGTATGCACTTTCCTACCAGTGACTTTTGCTCGGTACCAAATTCCATCTTCAAATTTAGCTACACAGGCTTGATCTTGAACAGGACAGAGGATTTCCAGATTTTCCCCATCTTCGCCTTTATAGAATTCCTCAATTGTCTTTAGAAGAGATAAAAAATCCAGGTTCTCTGTCTACAAAAGAAAGGGACATAGCACTGTAGTTTCATAGAAAGCTAAATTTTGAATGTTAAATGTATTATAGGCAAGTCTCATAAATAAGACATTAGGTAGGTATCAATCAGGTATTATGAAATTTATTATTAGAATACTTTATTTCAGAATCAGTGTAAAACTGGCATAGACAAAAGAAAAATAAAATTCCATTCAGCAAGATAATTCACTGTATATTCTTCTAGATTATTTCTGTACACACGCATACAAGTCTCTATACTTGTTTTTAGCAAAACTTGTTCTGTTTCAAATTTTTGTTCTGTTTTGGTAAATGTTTCTACTAGTACTCCTGGGTCATATTTAGTTTTCTCTGAATGATCTGAACCAGTATGTAATCCAAAATGTATACAATATTTCTAGTGCTTACCTCCTTATATAATTTGTATAAGCTAACTCAGATAAGGTAGCATAGCCCTCTTTTAAAAATAACCTCTTCTGGGCCAGTGAGAAGACAACAGGTAAAGGTGATTGCTGCCAAGTCTGATGACTTGAGTTTGATACCCAGGATGCATTTGTTGGAAGAAGAAAACCAACTCTGGCAATTTGTCCTCTGAGCTCTATGTATGAGCCACTGAAAAACACACACAACCCCTGCCCTCTTTTTCTGTGGTGTCTCACCTTCTGGGTTTATGTGGTTACATTCTTATACTATTAAAAATTTCTTGATTCTCTACAGGAGGACTAGCTACCCTATTCCTCTCATCCCTGTCTTTGCAAGCCTCACAGGCTGGCTCCTATTCCTTAACCCCAAATCCCAGGACTACCTTCCCAAGCCAGATTAACCACTCACCCTACCATAGAACCCTAAATTCTGACCCAGGCGGCCCCCTCGCTGCCAAATTCCCAGCATCAGGATTAGGCAGACAGACCTGCTCAGCCAGGACTCTGGTAAATCAGATCAAGCTCACTGCCTCTCCTCCCCCATTTCTCTCATCCACCCCCACCTGTCCTCTGCTGGCCTCTCTCACAGGTGGGACCAGCCTCAGCTTCACCTCATTCTCTACAGGAGGACTAGCTGCCTCATTCATCTCATCCCTGTCCCTGCAGGCCTCTCTCATAGGCTGGCTCCTATTCCTTAACCCCAAATCCCAGGACTACATTCCCAAACCAGATTAACCACTCACTCTACTATAGATCCCTAAATTCTCACCCAGGCAGCCCCCTCACTGCCAAATTTCCAGCCTTGGGATTAGGCAAACAGACCTGCTCAGCCAGGACTCTGGTAAATCAGATAAACCCACTGCCTCCCCTCCTCTCATCAACCCACACTCTGCACCCCCCCCCCCACAAGCCTCTCTCACAGGCTGGCTCCAATTAACCCCAAATCCCAGGACTAACTTTCCAAACCAGATTGACCAATCACTCTACCATAGACCTCTAAGTCCTCACCCAGGAGGTCCCCTCACCTCCAAATTCCTAGTCTCTTGATCAGCAGACAGTCAAACTCAGCCAGGACTCTGGTAAATCAGATCTGCCTACCCTATTTCTCTCATCCACCCCCACTTCATCCCTTCAAGCCTCTCTCACAGGCAGGCTCCAATTCTTTCAAACCAGATTAACTAACCACCACCATCCTAAATTCTCATCTAAGCAATCCCCTCACCACCAGTCCCAGCCTCCAGATCAGGCAGACAGAACTGCTCAGTCAGGACTCTGACCAGTCTCCTACCCAGCAAGAATGTGAAATACCCACCAATTTATCTTTCATACCCATACAAAAAGTAACTAAGTGACATAAACAATAGTAACAGAACCAAAATTAAATTAAACAAAAGCAGAGTAGAAGTTCCTGTTGAACACATAACTGACAAAGAACATCCATATGCGCAGATGACAATGTAAAACCACAGACAAAATGAAAAGCCAGGAAAATATGTCCCCAACAAAACCCATGAATCCTACAGAAGTGCAGAACATTGAGAACTACCCAAGGACACAGAATTTAAAAGAACAATCATAAACATGATCAAGGAATTACAAGAAAACACAGACAACTCAAAGAACTCAAAAAGGAAAGTCATAAACTTATGATGGAAGCTCGGGAATATACAAATACATGGCTTAATGAAATATCAAAAACAATTCATAATTTGAAAAGCGAATTCACTAAAGAGAAATAGTGAAGAAAACCCAAATGGAAATGAATACGGGACTGAAAGACTAAATAAACCAATTAGAAACAACAGGAGAAAGTCTCACAAGCAGAATGAATGAAATGGAAAACAGAATATCAAGACTGGAGGATAAAATTGAAGATCTGAACTCCTTAAGCAAAGACTGCGAAATTAAAAAAAACACGGGAATAGAATACTCAGGAAATGTGAGACAACATGAAACGATCAAATCTACACATTATAGGCATATAGGAAGGAGAAGAAAATCAAACCAATGGCATCAAACAGATCTTCAATAGGATTATAGAAGAAAACTTCCCTAAATAAAGGAAAGATATGCCTATAGAGATTCAAGAAGAACAGAGAATACAATTAAGACATGATCAGAACATAAAGTCCCCACGACATATCATAGTAAAAACATTAAAAGTACAGAACAAAGAGAGGATACTCAAAGCTGCTAGAGAAAACAACAAGTTACATATAAAGGAAAACCCATCAGAATAACAGTTGACTTTTCAGTGTAAACCATGAAAGCCAGAAAAGCCTGGAACAAAGTATTCCCAGTTCTAAACAACCATGAACGTCAACCCTGAATATTTTATCCAGCAAAACTATCTATCAAGGTTGAAGGGGAACAGAAAATTTTCCATGACACAAATAGGCTGAAAGAATTCATGTCTTCCAAACCAGCACTGCAGAGAATACTTGAAGCAATACAGAGGACCAAAGAAAGGAATGAGCATGCCCAAAATGCTACAGAAAGAAAATAAGAAAGGTATAATAATGGAAACACAAAATAGGGCCACAAACACAAATTAATATGACAGTACACAATCCGCAATTTCAATAATAATACTAAATATCAATGGCCTCAACTCCCCTGTCAAAAGATACAGGCTGGTGTAATGGCTCGAGAAAGAAAACCCATCTTTTTGTTGTCTTCAAGAAACTCCTCTCACCTTCAAGGATAGACACTATCTTAGGGTGAAAGGATGGAAAAAATATTCCAAGTAAATGGCCCTAAGAAGCAAGCAGGCATTGCAATTTTAGTATCTGACAAATAGACTTCAAATTAAAAAAATCATCAGAAGAGATAAGGAGGGTTACTTCATTCTAATCAAAGGAACAACTGGCCAAGAAGATATTACAAGCAAGAACATTTATGTACCAAACTGTGGAGCACCCAATTTCATAAAATCAGTAGTCCAGGACTATGAAACAGAGATTGGCACCAACTCAGTGACAGTGGGTGACTTTAATATCCCACTTTCTTCAATAGATAGGTCAACTGGACAAGGAATAAAGAGAGAGACATCTGACTTAAATGATATACTGTATCAGGACCTAACATATATATGGAATATTCTACCCAACCACCAAAGAATACATTTTCTACTCAGCAGCTCATGCAACTTATTCTAAAATTGACCACATTCTAAGGCACAAAAGAAATCCCAACAAACACAAAAAAATTGAAATAATTCCATGCCTTCTATTAGACCATAGTTCAATAAAGCAGAAGAGGAGATAGAAAGATTGTAAGAGCCAGGGCTGGCTCATGAACATATGAGGTGGAAGCTTCCAGGCCAAAGGATGCTTGCTCATGTGAGCCTGCGGCACTGGTGGCATCAAATGCGGGACCCACGTCAGTCAGCTCAATTAAATAAGTGCCCAAAGAGAAGGTGAGAAATAGGTGTCGGGTCAGCACTAGATTGAGAACTATTTGAGACTGGTTGCTGCTGGGTGAGGGAGAGTATAATTTACATACAGCCACTGGATGGGCTGATTAGATTCCAGTTGATGCATTTACACTGAAGGACATTTGGGTACAAACACCTGAATAAACAGGACTCAGCATGTATGGCAGAGTGCATAGGGTTCAGTTGGGGGGGTGAATGGGGGAGGAAAATCTGGATATGAATGGGAAATATTGTATGAAATTTTAAAAGCTCAAAAAATTAATTACATCTATTTATTTTAAGTATGTGTATGTATGGTCGTACATATGCTATACTGTATGTATGGAGATCGAAAAACTTGTAGGAGTCAATGTGGCCTCTCAGGATCAAATTCAGGTTTTCAGGCTTGGTAGCAAGCACATTTACCTAATGAGCCATCTTGATGGTCCTCTTAGGCTATTATTTCGTTTATTCTTGCATTGAATAGGGTCACCTGCTGTATTTCCTGCAAAGGTGACTATTATAGCCAAAGATTTGATGGATCTAAGCCAAACCTGTTTTTGTTAAACTTCATCATTAGTGACTTTGTACACCCATGCTGTAACATACTAGAAGATATACTATCTATGGACTCATGATGAGTGTGCTGAAGTTCATCTAGTGACTGGGGCCATGATTCTGATTCCTCCATTACACAGCTATGTTTTCTCCTTGTGTTCACCAACTAGTATTATACTATTTTGACATTACACATGTCCAGTTTCTTACCATTCACCTAGAGGTTTTTTGTTGCTGCTATTGTTGTTGGTTGTTTGAGACAGAGTCTCACTATGTAGACTCTCTATGCAGACTAGGCTGAGCTCAAACTCACAGAGATTCACCTGTCTCTGCTGGGATTAAAGGCATATGCCATCATGCCTGGCTACACCTAGAGGTTTTAAAATAAAATAGTTCTTTTTCTTTAGTTCTTTTATTTTTATTTTATTTGTATGAGCATTTTGTTTACAAGTATGTAAGTGTACATGTAATGTATGCATGTAATGACAAAGGGTGTCAATCTCCTGGAACTGGAGTTATGGATGGTTGTTAGCTACCACATGGGTGCTGGGAACCAAACCCAGGTGCTCTGTAAGAGCAGCCAGTGCTCTTAACCATGGAGTCATTT